ATGTTGTATGTTTAATTGATGACAAGCTTATTAATGCTCAGCTCTAGTTATGATATTATTTTATTACAACAGTGAAAAATTCTAATTAAGATGATCTGTTTGCCAGGAAAAAGTTTAGTATATCAATTCATCTATTTTATCAGGGGAAGTAGTCCCTTCCCCAGCCCATATCTCCTGATCGGAGCCTGAGATACAAGAAAAACATCACAGATGCATGCTGCATTGGACAAAGAAGGCATGCATGCATTTAAATCATGTATATCTTACTTTTTACGGATGTAATTGTGAAATATGTTCTTTTTGCATTCATAATTAGGGGTGAAACAGATGGTGAAGGCTTAGTTTAAAATAATCTATCATTAAAATAACCTAGCCTACTGGTAATTCTTCACTCTAACTGGAGTTTAGGTCAGGGTAACAGGGTTTTTTGTGATGCTGGAATACACTAGAAGGAATTAAGGACTGCATGGATAGTACACAATACGAGGATATTCTCCAGAAGGACACTATATTAACATCCCAGTCAATTAAATTTGTCTGTACTGGGTATATGCAAAAATAGCTGGGACAAAATTCCTCTGACAAATATAAATCCATTTTGTGCAATGCATTATACATTAGCACATATTCGGTCAAAGTGGTACAGTAGGTTTCATATCTTGAAAGGAAATAACCTCAGTATTCAACAAACACTGTACAAACCACTTAGTATTTTGGGTTAAAATCCCATGCTTTACATTTTCGTATTATTTTGATGTCAAAGGACATAAATTATAATTATTGGCATTATTATTCAAAGGTGCTGTAGCTAGTGACTTTTACATCTGAGTCTCACTTCCCTCATGTCTACCACATTGACTTGCTGATATGTGACAAAGGAAATCTTCTATCAGTCCTGTCTCTCTGGCTTAGGACAGTTTTCAGGAATAAGAGAACTGGCTCAATAAATCAGATACTTCCATGTTTTTAAAGCATTTATTTTAGTGCTTCCTCTAAGATTTCATTCTCTAACAGCTTTGAAAAAAGCATATAGATTTCAGCATGGTATTATGATAAATCTTCTCAAGGAGGGGCAAGCATTAACATTTGTGTCAGTTCTTTTTCATCTTAATCCAACCTTGGTTAATAATCAGAAAATGCTACATAGCGGGTAAGAAGATGTAATTAACCCTTTGACCCTGGAATCTTAATTGGCGCCTGTTGAAAACAGTGGGGCAGTATTAAAAAAAAAAAAATTAAAAAGTAGCCTGTGGTGATTGAAACAGCATAATACATAATAGTTTTCTGAAATAAAAGTACTGGGGAAATTCAGCTTTAATCACATTTTGCATATGAGCAGTAAGTGTAGGTTTAAACAAGAAGTTGCTGGTCTTTTTAAAATGTGATTGTGCTTAAAATTGGAATGGATGTTTACCCTGACCATTTTTAAGGCACTGCAGTAAATGGGATAACACAAAGTTTATGGAAGTCAATTTCGCTTTTAAAAATAGAAACAAAATGAACTCAAGAAGGTACTGATATTTTCCTTCAACAAAAACAGGACATTTTGCAAAATACTCGTTGCCTTTGCACGTGCTATTTGTACGTCATAGTTGATAATGTTGGAACTGTGGAATATCCAAAACACAAATACTATCTGCCTTTGACCTACAATGAAATTCCCACTGGCAATGACAATGTGCTGCTCAGTTTAAAAGAGAGACTTGAAAGCTGAGTAAATCCAGTACCCTTCTCATATTTATTGGCTTCTTGGCTACACAAATGTAATACAAATAATACTTCCAAAAATTACTCATTAATACAAAATTGTTTGTAAATAGATACAATGATACCATATACTCTTCTTCAGTATATAATATAACCCCTGCTATGTTATCTGCCAGCTTTCTCTGAAGTCTATTGCTCTCTTGGCATGCACAAAGGACATCGCTTTATGAAAAATTGAAAATTTTCAACACGCATTACTTAAATAATAAATATTCATAAATAATACCTATGAATAACGAATGAGGCAGTCCTTCAGAACTACTGTTTGACCTGTATAAGGAACAACAACACTGTCACAAAAGGGGTCCATCTCAGTCCTTTTGTGTGGGTGGGAGGAACTGCCTTGCACTGGAAGGTGACCATTTCTTCTACTGTTTTTATGATAATTTTTCTCTGATATGAGGATTTGAGCTTATTACTTCTAATGTATTTGCACTTTGAGTTAGCTGCTCTATTAGCAATTTATCAGTGGCTCTTCCAAAATATGATTAAGTAATCTTTTGAATTTTGCTCAATTTAAAATGTGGTGAATTATGTCAGTATTTTTATTCAAACATAACTTCAGGAAGCAGGGAAAGGAAGCAGAGAAAAAATACATGACCACCACATAGTTGTCTCAGTTGTCTTACTTATGGCATGGAAATGACTAGATATGCAAGAAGCCTAAAAGAGTTGTAGGTATGCTACACTGGCCCTGCCATTCCATCAGTGGTGCCATAGTAACCTCCCTTGTAAAACTAGGAGGTAAAAAGTAAGGAATATTTTCCCAAAGGAAAGCAAAAAAACAGGATCAAGCATTAAAACTGTTTAACTGAAAGACAAGGGTGAAATGGAGAAGTAATGTGAAAAAGCTTAAGATGTTTTAAGATGTTAAACTTTCGCATTTAACACTCTTCCGAGTTGCTGGTTACTTTAAAAACTTCAGCCATAAATGTTGTAATTTCTTTTTACTCTCATGCCTACCTGAGATTTTATTTCTATATTTCCAGCAAAGCTATTTTTAGCCAATTCCAAGTCAACATTGAGCAGAATATTTCTACTTTGTGATGAAAGCTTTCTATAATTTTTTCTTTCATTAAAAGGCCTGAGTTCCTAAATAAGATCATGCTTATTTAGAAGAGAAGCAAGAAAGCCATTACTCAGAATTACATTTTGTTATCCTCCCAAAACACTATCCAGATATGCCAGATAATTACACAGTAATCTAGCAAACTAAATAGAACAGATTATAAATGTGCTGAGTGCATGGAGCCTTTTTCCAGTAAAAGAGGAGGGGAATCACACATATTGGATATGTTAAAAATGGGTTATGTTAAAAATGATACACAAAAAAACTATGAAATTTCCTTCTATGGGATATTATTCAACCAACAAAATATTTTGATTCAAAAAGAATCTTGAGCGCAATAGTTGTAGGAGTAATTACGTAGAATATCACCTGTCATGACCATGGAAACTAGTAACAACCTGACGCTAGAAAGAAGCTTCTAGTAGTCTGGTCATTACCTACCTGGCACTGATATTTCAAATGCTGTTATGAAGTAGGGTGCAGACTGTTGGATCCAGGGAAATCAACCACTGCTGGTAGACATTAGTCTGATTCAGTACTGCAAGTTGTTGTTGGAGAAAGTCTTTTTAGCAAAGACATACATGAGTGGCCAGGGAATCAGGTTGACAGTTTTCTCTTTTATTTCTAGCAGGGGATTAAAACATTTTCCTCAAAGAGGGGAACCTGAGACAGAAAATCAGGACAACTTATACTGAGACCCTTGAAGATCCATTCTTCTGATCTTTCTGTGCTAGGGCAAGTGGGAAGTAACAGAAGAAATGTGTACTTGGGGAGATCAAATGTGTAAAGGTTTTAATTGTCCTTGTATAGATTCAAGTTTGAACTTCACTGCTCCAAATTTTCCACCTGTTGTTGACATCAAAATTCAAGGAATTGGCGTTAATTATTTAAAAAAAAATTATGATGATTTATAAGAGGCCATAAATGGTTTGCAGAATGTAAATGTTTTTACATGAAGGAAATCTATGCAGATTTACATTTTTATTAATTCATAAATATAAATTAGAGTATCTTTTTTAATGCAGTAAGGGTTTGTTTTCCAATATGGGGTGTATTTTTTTTTAGAAAACACTGATTTTTGAACCACCTACTACATCAGAGTGGAGTAAGTGCTTCCTAAGGACAATTTCTGACTAGCAGTGTATTGGAAATTAATCAAGGAGAAGAATCAAAGAAATTAAAAACTAGAAATTACTGTTCTATATTTAAAAGGATAAAAACAATAACTTTGTGATTTTAGACTTGCAGTATTATTATTATTATTATTTTTTTTTTGCCAGCAGTCAGCCTTCTAAAAAGCATAAAACTAAAGGCACATGTAGTATTTGAAAGGCAATTTATTCCTAGAAAAAATTTGCTCGTGTACCTAGATGTATATTTCCATCTTGATGCACAGTGATTTACTCTACATGTCAGTTTAGAATATAGTTTTTGTTTATTAACTGCAGTCATGTTTCAAAAGATATGCATTAATCTGTGCATTTTTGCAGTTGCAATGGAAACTGCATCCAAAGACAACCTGACAAACTAAAGTCTGGTCTAGAGTTTTGTACCAAAGGGATGAAATTCATAACATTTCTATAGGCCTAAGCCATAAGCATATTTGAGGGTAATCTGCTGATTGGCTTTGTTTGTTGTCTCACAAAAGGAAAATGGTGTGTGTGTAATCCTCAATTAATTAACATATTATTTAGGTCCATAGTGGTTTGAGTGGTGGCAGGATTTTATTTTCTTTTTCTCGTTTGTTTGTTTGTTTTCAGATTTTGTTTTTCAGTTTTCTCTACTTTTATTCTGGGGAATAATTCGGGGATCTCCTTACATATCATTTGATTGGAAGGCTATTTGTTTTTCTTATGTATTTCTTCCTGTAAAAAAAATTGAAGAACATTTCATTTTTCTGTATTTTTCCTGTATTCAAATGAGATAACTTTATATAGTATATGGCAGATATAAGCAGAACAGTAAGTCCTTCAACTTTGAGATATACTAGTGTTGATTTTTAATATATAAATTTTATAACAGAATGGTCTTAAGGATTCAAATTAAAAACACACATCTGAATGTTTTCCTCAATTTGTTCTGTGATACCTTTGTTTGAATCTATTTCTATCTAGGATTTAACATTTTTAGTTAATATATTCACTAGACTTTTCTTTCTCTGCAGTCCCTGGATGGATTTGTATTTGCACTAAATCAAGAAGGAAAATTTTTGTACATTTCTGAAACTGTCTCCATCTACTTAGGCCTGTCCCAAGTAAGTACATGCTTTCAGTTCTATAGCATAATTGTGTGTGATGTGTTCTTCTGTTTCTCATTTTAAAAGAAATTTGAATAATCTAGTTTCTGTATTTTGCATGGATTATTTAATTAATTATTTAAAGTTGTATCTGGTTCATCCTGAGAAGTAATTGAAAAACATGTCTATCAGTATTGGATGTTCAAATAAGTGTGCCTTGTGCCTGAAAACTTTTTGCCATGACGGATCATTATTAATTTATTGAGAACAAATCAAGTTTCTTTTCTTGGTTGTTTTGAACTTTAAACCTCTATACCTGATAGGAAAGGGATACGTTAATAGTACTTCCCTTGTGTCCTATTACTGGATGTTTATGGAGTACCCTGCATTATCTAGGGAGCTGACACAATGACAGGGAGTCATTTGGAGTCAAGAAATGCTGAAAGAGACCATTAAAATGTCTGGCAGGGAGGGTTCCAACAAGGACACGTTTTGCTGCTTCCACAAATGTTCACTAATATGAAGAAAATATATTAAATACAGTATTTTTAAAATGTAATTGCTAACAACTGTTTTTCAAAGATTAAAAGGGTGGATGGAAGAGAAGGGAAAGTTGTTTGCTGGTACTTAGCCCTAATCCTGCTGCATTCAGAAATCTTTTGTTAGAATAGCTTCTTTTTACTTGCATTTAGAAATGCAGAAGAAAGATTTTACATGATGATTTGCAGGGTAAGATACCTGTTTCTATTGCATTCACTCAGAGGAGAAAAAGAAAATCTAATATAAATATTTATTTCCTTTAAATTGGTATCCATACTGCTGTGAGGAGGCAAGTATTATTACTGATAACTGTTAGTTTTGGTGTACCCCAACGGTAATGAAATGGGAAATTTTAACTCTTGGTGCAGAAAATTACTAATTTTGAATATTATGTCACGAGAGTTAGGATAGATGTTCATTAAGTCATCAAAGAAATTGCAAGAAATTTGTTTTAGTAAGTTCAGTAATTGTTATTTTGGGTTGGCTTTATTGAAGCAAATGCTAAAGGTTTTTCTTACTCATATATGTATTTTTTTCTGCCATTAAAGTCTCTTGTTTTGTAATAGACATTAATACCTGGCTTAATCTGTTCGGGACTTGGTATCGAGAATCTCAGATTTTGAAATTGGTGCGCCACCATGTTGCTAATACAGTAAAGAATCAGAACTTTAATGTTTATTATTGTCTTACGCTCATATTAATCTGTTTTATGCATAGTATCCAACAAAGTTTAACAAGCCAGTAAAGAAGAAGGATGGATAATTAGTTTAAGCAGGTAAATGCTAATTAGGAAACTCCTGAAAGGCATCCATTATACGGTAGCTTAAAACAAATTTTACAGCCCTGGTTAGTGGTGTAATCCAAATTCTGTCAAGGCAACTGCATTTTCTGTAATTGAGATGTGTATGTTTGCTTTGCATAACAGATGGCTCTGTATGCTTAGACTGATAGCTAGGAAAATAATAATTGCATTATTCTGGCCAAAAGAATATTAGCTCTTGGGTTTTGGCCATTTCAGTCAGTCCTCCTGCCAGCACAGCATATGCACATATATGGATTGGATTTTCAAGGAAATTGATGCATCTGGAATAGTGTGGCCATCTGAAATATCATCTGTTCAAGAAAAAAAAATTGGCTTTAACCCTATGCTAGTCCCTTGTTAAAAACATTTTCTGCCACTATCTTTTTAACTATAGGACTTTCCTTACTCTGTACTAACATCCAGTTGGTGAGGCTTTGCACTTCATCTCATATCCCCATATACATTTCAAGAAAGAATTCTGATATATTAAGCAATTTTCTTTGCATGTTAGTCTTTATCAGTGAAAACGTTTCCTTGTGTTCATTGCTGATGGTATAAATGGAAAAATAATATAAAATCAGAATCAGGACCGTGGCTTTTAGTATGTTAGCAGATGATATCAACTGAGATCTGCTTGAATATCTTTGATTTTCACTTGTCATCAGTCTTTACTTTGTATGTCTCTGAATTATTACATTCTTAACGTATTGTTTGGTTTTATATTATTGTACAGCTAGGTTTCCAGCAATTACAAAAGGAGCACTGTAGCTACTTGACACTAAATCACTATTCAAAGCGTTATTTGTTGCAAAAAATATTGGTAAGAATATCCCTAAAATCATTCCTGAAACTATACATGGAAATGCTAGTATTTCCACTACAACAGTCTTAATTCTGAATTTCTGAAAGAGTGCTATGTTGTACATGTGCTACTGCATCACTTGTGCGGCAAGTAAACACTGATGTGTCCCTATCCTGATATGAGCCCCCACTCCCAAGTATGTATCTGTATAGAACCTGGAGGCAATTTTGCATTTCAAAAAGTCTGGGTGTACATTATAAGCATTTTTATTTGAATCATCATCTTGGAGTGCTGACTTTGGAGTCTTATTTTTTTAGTAAAGTGTCATCTTAGAGACTTCAGCTTTTTTTTTTTTTTTTTTTTTTTTTTTTTATGTATGGAAAATATGTATAACATATTTTGTATTTGTAAAGAAAAAATCTCACATCTCTTAGCAGTGGGAAAATAATAATTGTACCAAGTCTTAGCAGGTGAAAACCCTTTTTAACTGAACCAGTTTTTCTCTTCTCTGAACACTGAGAGCCAGAACACTGAGAGCCAGTGGTAGAAAACAAATGGATACTGATATTCTAAGATAGCTGCAAGGCTAATAGTAAAAAAATCTGATAAAACACTATCTTGGAAGGTAGTCTGGCAATGGTGATAATAACGTTACTTCTGGCAAAAATGACAGTGCATTCAAACAGTAAACAAAAATTAAAATAAATATTCTTCCAACATCGCATGTGAATGTATCTTTTGTGTGTAGAGACATATATTTGTTTAGAACACTTTATCTCTCAGCTAATGTCAACCAAGAATTTCAAGCTAACTTGGCAGACATGGATTTTGGTATGGCAGTTTGCTGTGGAATTGTAATCAGAGCAGTTTCAGAGAATGTGGACATGCTGAAGTATAGAGGAAGACAGTGTTAGATCAAAATAAAGACCGAAAAAGAAATAGAATAAAAGAAACAGAAAGAGACCAAAATCTCCGTGTTATATCCTTAGTTTATATAAATAGTGATAGCCCAGATACAGCTGGGGTGAGCTGGAATACTCCAACATACTTTTAAGCATTCAGTAGTTCCAGGACCTGCAGTACATGTTGGAAGAGACAGACATGTCTAGAACCGCGTGGTATAGCAATCATTCTTCTGTTGGACTGCATGGTGTACTTTCCCCTTGTGCCAAGGCAAACAGTTCTTGTTACACTCTACCTCTGTAGTGTTGCAAAATTGCTTTGCCTATGTCTGTTCTCAAACATTCTCAAGTTAGGACCAAGATTTCCTTTAGGAAATGGAATGGGGCACTTGGAAGTCAGTATAGATACCTACCAAATTTCAATTCTTTTGCAAAATTGTTGAATTTGAGACTTAGTACAAAAATATGCTGATGCAAGTAGCACAAAATGGGGAGAAAAGTCCATCTGGAACAAGGGATAAAATTAATAGAGGTGTGCGGTTTCAGGGTCAATATAAAATATTATGGACTGATAAGCTTGGTAGAATACTTTTCAGGAAAGAAATTCTTGATCATCTCTCACTAACAGTTGTACTCAATAAGGGTATTATGCATTACTTTCCTTCTGTGAGGCCCACACCTGAAAGTAAAATATTTCACACCTTTGCTACAGCTTGTCCAGAACACGGACCGGGATTATAAATTGGCCTATTGCAGAGAAAGCTCATTAAAAAGGAGCAGTGCAGCTGCAGAAATAATAAAAGATAATAGAGGTAAAGAAAAAAAATAAAAGAAGAAAATTGTTGAGATTTTGTAATTTTTAAAACAGAGCAAGCAAAGCCAACCAGTATATATTATGTGTGGTGTGCTACTAATAGCATAACCTACCTCCTTACTTTGGCTTTCTATGCATTTGTTCTATGAAATGGCAAATAAAATTATAGCTACAGCACACAAGTACAAGGTCAAATAAATGACAGTACTCAGTCTATTTGTGAAGCTATTCTGAAAAGGAACCATGGTGCCAAATGTGGTTTATTTGAATAATAAAGAAGAATTAGATTCCCCTGATAACTTGGCTGAGGGCCAATAAATCACTGGAGGTTAAGAATGCTCTGCAACAGCCGCGTATTTCTTTTGCTTTTACTAAGCATAAACCTCAACTACTCTGCTCTACCTGTTTTTCAATGCAAATCAACTTGAGGCTAGTAGATGGTTAAAGGATTGCTTTGTGCTGTTTGCTTAAAAGTAATATAAAGCAAAACTTGCACCTGTTCTGTAAGTTTTACCCCAATTTCCCACTGTGCCATTATCTAAGTAGTAATTTTAAAAATCAAATAAACAAAACACCAGGAAATTCACAGCAAAATTACATTTCTTCATTTTTTTTTTAAGCAAATCCAAACAATAGCAAAGAGAGAAGTTTTTTGTTTTGTTTTGTTTTTCTTTTTGAATTTCGTTCTGAATTTATAAAATACTATATAAAAAGATAATCTCTGCTGTTCTAGTAAACTGGAGCACTAGCATGGAATAGTTTGACCTCTTTAAAAATTATTAAAGCCTGGGAAATTTTCGTTAATGTGTTTTTTAAGGAAGTTATTATTTCTTTTAATATTCAACATAAGAAAGTTCATTTACTTTCATCTTTTATAGTAAAGGAGGAAGGTAAGCAAGGGAGGAACTCTTGAAATAGAGTAGCTCTGTGGATGTTGAGAGCAGAAAGAAAATATAAGTATCAAAATAATTCAGAAACAGAACAAGGCATGGTGGCACATTATCAATTTACAACATTTAAATTGATAAATGCTTGGTGGTGAAGGCCTACAAGGGCACTTTGAAAAGCAAATAGCGACCTGGTGAAGAAATTGATTTTTCCCCCCCGAAAATGACTGCATGATGCATCATTTGACTGCATGCTGTCCAAGTGCTTGAC